TATATGATGTTATTTTTAATTATGTGAAAACCGTGAGAACCATATTTGATGTTATTTTTAATTATGTATGATGTTATTTTTAATATTGCATGGTGCTGTTATTTGCACAATTCTAATAAAAATTGTACTGCTATTTTCAATAAAATAATCCTAGTTAAAAATAGCACTAAAACACAATCAATCATAACACTACATACAATTTAAAATAGTGTTTCTCACGGTTCTCACGCTATGACTTGGTTCTCATTTGAACCACATCATATATATATATACATACAACATACCTAATATATTCCCAACTGGTTGGGGTCTGAGGGGTCAGTTGTACGTATACCTTACCCTTGTAATTATACAAGGAGGCTGTTTTCGTAGCGATCCAAGGTGCATTGCGTCGTTTGATATATTTTTTTTCTAGAAACTTCACTAATAGAAGAAGCACTATAATTTAATTGAGTCCATTTGATCTAGTCCATTATTAGCACTATGCCAGGAGAATTGTCAACAATGACTCTTCTAGGTCGATTTGCAATGGACAAACATCATATATATATCTATATCCATTCTTACGACACATACCAAACATACACGACTAGTTACATATATACGACACCTCGAAATCAAATTTTGAATTAACCAAATTGATCCTAGGAACTAGTGCATTCACATGGTATATGTTTCATGGATTTTCGGTAACTCGAAGGCTGGGTACGAGGTCGTCGGCTCAAGACCGTTCAAGTAGGGATGACAAAACGACCTGGACCCGGCCCGACCCGGAGCGTTTGGGGCAGGCTTGACCTGCCCCATTTGTAGAACGGGCTGGGGCGGGTCCGGCCCGTTAGAAAAACGGGCCGGGGCGGGTCCTATCCACTGCCCTGGCCCGACCTGCCCCGACCTGGCTCGGATGCTTTGTAAATATATAATATATATATATATATATATATATATAATATATATAAAGTAATTAGAGTTTAGTTTCATACATTACGGTCCTTACCTTTAGCACCCCACTTCTCTTTTCATCTTCTGCAGATTGCGAGGGATTAGAGGGAGGTTTATTTATTTATTTATTTATTTTTTAAATAACCACAATCTGAAGCTTCAATATCTAAATTCAACAAAAAATTGTTCGGCATTCGAGTACCAAAATCAAAGTTTTCTGGTTCAAATTCACTGGAAGGAAAAAAAAAACATAAAACACAAAATTTAGGCTCCAATCACTTAATATTTCCTGGCGTTCCAACTTGTAAATTGGTCTGTTGTAATGCGTCATAATTTGTAATATTTCTCCACAAGCAAGAGCTCACTGCTCAGAATACTCGTCTTGCGGGCCAGGGCGGGGAGGCCCACCCCGGCGCGGGCCAGGTCGCGGGGCGACATTCTTGGACCCATGACGGGTCACGGGCCAGTCGGGGCGCGGGCCTATGGTCGCGGGGCAGGTCCGGGTACTGAACTATCCGGCCCGACCTGCCCCATTGCCATCGTTCAATTGACCCCATATTGTGTTATTATCAAACTAATGATATAAACCACTACAGCATAAATGGTTTGTTGTATATTCATTACAATTAAAGATTAAACTGGTCAAAAAATAAAAAGATTTAGGGATTATTTCTGTTGCCTATTTCTTTATGTATTTCATCTATTCGGTGAACATTGATTGAAGGCCTAAATGTTCTTCAATTTATTATAATTATCCAAAACATACAACTATATTCACAAACTCATGATAACAGAAAGCATCCTAACATAATTGCAATTGTTGAGAAAGCATCCTAACATAATAGCAAATTGTTGAGAAAACCGACAAGGAATGTTTTCTTCAATACTACTTCAAATGCCTTGGATTTATATATAACGAATCACCAACTTTTATTTTGATCTTTAGAGTGAGTATGTTAATGAACTCAACCTTAAAAAATGTGTCATACAACTTCTTATAGCAGCTAGAATGTTCAGTAACTTCAAAAAACAAATTAATAATAATAATAAATAACTGATACAAAAGAAAGGTAATAAACAAAAGTCCCATATCTAGATTTTCCTTCGAGCTTAGTTCTGATGAACAATTCCGCAAAAAGAATATAGAAGGGATTTCAAAGGAGGTAAATCTCTGAAATGGCGCTATCGTTACCCGCCAAAGTTTTTCCCAGCAGTAGGGAGGAAATAGGTTAGATTTTTTATGAGTTGGCTTTCAAACAGACTTTGAAAATTTAATTATCCATGTCACCATAAAAAGAGCCCATAACATTATGGACTGGAGAGTAATTTGTATACTTGATGATGTGGCTCACATTCTATTAAGTCTGCATCTCACATTGGAGATGCTCTCAGGATAGCAAAACTGCTCTTCCGAATTTCAAGTAAACAATAATAACCAATTACAATTCTTTGACAACCATGTTAGCAAGTCCCAGTTTATTGTCCACAGGCAAATACTCTTTCAATGAAACACAAGTCCGATACAACACTTGCAGGATGGAAACAGCAAATTCGTTCTCCGACCTGTCGATAGGCTGTGAACCCGGAAAGTATTCGCCAAGCTGGACGTGTCTTGCCCAGTCATAAATCCTATCCGTTGATCTCCAAATATACAATGCTACACTTTCGGCAACTATCTCCCAGCTAGTGCCCACCAGGAGAGAGGATAAAGTGACGGGTAGGTCACTCAACACGCTTGATTTATCTGCAGACAACATGGGCATGTATTTGCAGGAGCTGCCGGATAAGAGACCCAAAAACCGAAGTGCCTGCATGAAAAATAATCCGACAGTACTGAGCGTGTGGGAGTGGAAATCGAGGTTATGCTATAAGCATAATAAAGAATTTGCAGAAATTTTTTAATGGAGAGAGAAATGGTGATCCACTAACTTAAGCTATATTTGATAAACCTAGCTTTAACTAGCTTATAGTTTTTAATTGAATTTCGAGTTAGTTGATAGCTTATGGCTTATGGTTGAAAAGCTAGCTTATATGATAAAAGTGTTAGGTAAAATTAGTTGAAATAAAAATTTCAATGGGCTGATTTGAAAAGCTTACCCAAGGAAGCTTATGAGATAAGCTCGAGCTTTTTTACCAAACCAAACTTACTTGAATACAGGAAGCTTATAAGTTAATCAAATAAGCTATAAGCTAGCTTATATGCTTACCAAACTCAACCTTAATAAAGTTGTAGTGTCACTAGTGAAAACTGCCCCATGTATGTATATGTTTGCATGAAATGAAGACTGAATATTCACTTCAAAATAATGCTGTATAACTAGGTTTTTGTGAAACATTGAATTTATTTGGTCCATACCGTTGAAGGGAAACTTGTCACGCACAGAATTTCTGCTGTGTCAACGAGCCATTGTTGTCTCACGCTTTGATCCTTTTGTTTCAAGGTTACAGAGAGTTCTACCAAAATGTCCCATATAACTACATGCGTGGACATTAGTGTACTGTATACTGTTAGTGTACGGATGGTTCAGGAAAATCTATGTCATTGACTTTAAAAATATGTAAAAGCCTCTCACCTTCTGAATTTATGTCTAGAATGTATGCTTTCCATTTTGCGAGTTCTGACAAGGGTAAGGAACCCATCCGAACTAGTGAAACTATAGCTTGAACCTTTTTCAGAGTGTTCGGGATCTGATGTTCATTTCTGAAATTTGCATCCGAAATCTGTGTACAACAAAAAAACATATCTATTATTCAATATTTAGAATACCATGACAAATGGGCCATATAAAGCAGAAGGATGATCCTACATAACAAGTTTGAGGGCCCCAGCATGGAATATCAACACAATAGAAACAACCTTTGTAGGGTTTTGTAACTCACATTGGCTGTTTTGTGACAACAATTTAAGCATAACCAGCTGAAGAGATATGTATGCAATATTTTGAGGTCATAATATCCAAAGAAATACAACTTAAATGGATTATTACCCGCAGTAGATCAGATAGCCAGCTTTGCCGAGCCTTCCCTAGGCATTTAATTGCTTCAGCCCATTCTAATTTCGAACCCTTCTTATGTACAGTAGCCCCCGACTCACACCATGGCAACATCTTAAATAGACTTTTCATGCAATGTTCCACATTACTTGTGTAATCTTGTGCCTCATCCAAAAAAGTCGTCAAACCCTTCCAGCAAGAAACCCGCAATGAGGCTCGTCCACCATGATCATACCGTTCAGAGGAGACAAACCAATGTAAGAAATCTGCCACGTCATCGAAAAGCTTCGCCAGTCGGGAGTTGGAGAAGGTCTTTAACAGGCCGGCAAGGTGCAATAGCATAAGTGATTGCAGGTTCAGCTCGAGCGTCTTGAGCCTCGCCAGATCATACAGCTCGTCAAGGATGCCGAGAAGTGAGTCGAATTGGTTTGCATGAGACAACAAGAACAGAAAGCAATCCTCCCTTATGGTGGTTCCTTTTCTGAGGGCTGTGTCATGCGAAGGGGTTTCAACAATTTGACCACTGTATTTCATGCACCGTCTTACGATAGCTCCCCAATCCAACGACGGCAATCTTGGAGCATATGACAGACATCGCAAAGCTAAGGTGACGGTTCTAGTATTTATACTGCCACCCTGCTGAAATTTGGGATAAAACCATAATTAAGAAAATAAGATTCGTAAATCTTTCCAAAAAGTTCCAATCACTTTTTTTTTTTTTTATTCAAATTAACTCAACTTTAACTCAATCCCACTATTCTCAATATTATCAATATAATTAAACGATATCACTCAATCATTCTTACACATTACATCAATTTTAATTCCCTATACATCTACTCACATAATTTTAACTAACCATCATTTGACATCGTCTCTCTCCTACTTTTACATCAAATCAATTTTAAATATTTTATTTTAAATATTATTTTAATATAAACTCAAAATTCCACTAACAACTAAGCTTACCGCTTTTTTCAAAATTAACCGTACCAAATCAAAAAATCCAAACAAAATCAAAATATTTTATATAAGACCCATAAGGGTACGTAAATTTCCATAAAATTTTTGTAAAGGCTTTCAAATGCTACAAACGGTTTCTTGAAAACGAAATAGATAGAGACAGAAGGCGGCAGAGATCTCAAAATCAAGCAAAGTTACCTCGGAATAATTCATCTGTGTGAGCCACAGAGAGAGTTTCATAACCAAACTATCTTCCGCAAATCCGTGAGAGGCAGACTTGATGACACCAGAGTCACCATGTACTGCACTCTCCTCATTTGAACGGTCTCTAGAGAAGATGGAATGCCTAAGAAACAAAATAGCCCACGCCGCATGCTGCTGTGATTGAGGATCGTCAGGATTTTGTGCAATCAGAAATATCTCTTGAACCAGTGATGTTAACTCCGTCTCTGGGGCATGATTTGGAAGTAAAGAACCCAACTCATGAGATAGTAACTGCCAGTATATATCAAACAAATAAACAAGTAAAAACACACATCCATCTCCAATTCCTTACTAGACTCTGCAGATGACAGTTTTTAAACAATTTGTGTAGTTGCTAGCTAGAATTAGTAATTTTTTTTTTTTTTTTTTTTTCTCCACAACATTATATGTGAAAGGTGAAGAATATAATATCTATCTATCTATCTATCGATCTATCTATCTATCTATTCTATAACTACCTTAAAAGTATGAGTTATTTCTTGAAAATTTTGAATTGCCCATACTGCCCTCAAAAGATGTTACTCTAAAGGACATAAATGTAATTTGTGATTTTAAATTAGAATTGATAATTGTGATTTGTAACTCTCCAACCACATTTAAATAGAAACTTGAACGGCCAATACTATCTTTAAGAAAAATGAAATGTAATTTTTGTTTGAAAGATATAAACGTAATATTATAATTTTAAATTAAAATCACATTACAACTACACACATATTTTTTTTTAATAAATATATGTAACTCTTCCATTTCTCTTCATCATATACAATTATTTTTCATGCATATAAAATTTATATTAATCTCATCCTAACTATTATTCTTCATCATCCACAAATTAATTTATTTATTACAAGAGTACATTTATTCATCTAACTTGAAAATCCAATTATCCTCAAGAAAAAGAAACGTAACTTTTGGATATTTGTTCATTTTCATTATTTCTTTTGATTATTTTAGTATTGTGACATTATAATTATTTTTTATTTTATCATGGATGTATTTTTATTATTTATTGTGGATACTTGGCTAGTGAAATAGAGAAAAAATAGAAAAGTTAGTATGATGCTTCCACAATTTAGAAAACTTAGTATTATATATATAAAATAATAAGTATCAAGCCAAATAATAAATATTATTTTTAATTTGTAATACATGTTATTTAGAATTATCTTCATCGTGGTTTATTTCATCACTATGCCTTAAAATGTTTACTCCTATCTATCTTTATAGTTATAGAATAAATTACATGTAATGATGAGTTTATAATTTTGAAATTCTGAAAAATGGAACTAAATTTAGACCTTATATCATTCAAGTACAAATTAGTAATTCAAACTTAATGTCATACATATGATTATTTGATATGTGATAAATAATTGAAGTTGTAGTCTTTCGAAATGTATTAATCTTTTAATTAAATGTGGGCGAATGAGTTACAAATCATCATTATCAACTCCAATATAATATATATTTTTAATATTAATTACAACTGAATGGTCATGAATATTCATTGTCATTTTCAAAATTTAGTAAAAGGGAAAATTAAATTTTATCTACCTAATTATCCGAAAATTTACACTTTGCCCACAAAACTTTATTGTTTTTACATTTTGCCTACCTAACTTTGATTTTTTGTACGCTTTGCCATTTCCGGACATTGTCGGCGACACGTGGCAATAAGGCACAAAAGCCACGTATTGTTTTATGACGCCGGCGGTGACCGAAAATGGCAAAGTGTACAAAAAATCAAAGTTAGGTAGACAAAGTGTAAAAAAAAAAGTTTTGTGAGCAAAGTGTAAATTTCCGTATAGTTAGTAGGTAAAGTGTAATTTCCCTTAATTCATTATATCATGTGTAACAAGTTAATTCATTCATAATCAATCTTTTGTAAGTAAAATTACAACTTTTATGTAATAAACAATCTAAATATTTTTTAGTTTAATCGAAATTATGTCAAATAACATGTGGGGTTTTAAATCCCTATAATAATTGAAATGGATTAAAGTTCATTTTTCAAATAACTATCTTAAAAGTGAAACTTGTTTCTTGAAAAAATTGAATTGGCAGTCATACGCTATAATTCTAAGGCAAATAATGTAATTTTGTCACAACTGTTACGGAGTTATAAATATTAATAGTTACAATCATTTTTTCAATCAATTATTTTTCATTCTACTTTACTTTATTATTTGTTTTATCTATGATCTTTTATTATATTTTTTACGTATTCAATAATTTAATTTCTTGTAGTTGATATAAAGATGTTAAGATTATCTAAACAAATATGTAAGTTAAAAATAAAAAATAGAATAAAAATTAAGGAAAATGTATTTTTTAAATGTAAGGAAAATATTATTTTTAAGATTTTTTAAATAAAATATATTTAATTTCACAAGTGTACAATATATAATGCCCCAATGAAAATATCATCTCTAATTTCTAAATATCATATTTTTTACTATAGATTTTTTTTGGATATAGTATAGTATTAAAAAATAGAAAATGAATAATTTAGTGAATATGCATGTGTTTAAGAATGATTGAATGAAAAAATTCTTCAACATATACAAAAAGTTAGATTTTTGTGGAAAAAATTATTTGTTAGGTGAAAATATATAATCTTAATTAAATTATTTTGTTCAAGTTATTCACTAAAACAGTATGCATAATACGATTTAAGTTTACCTGCTAATAATATTTTCAAATCATTTCCTTTATAAAAATATTGACAAATATATAAAATAATATTAAGATAAAAGTAAATATGAAAGAATCATTGTTTTATAATTAATTTGAAATAGAATTATTTAATTATCACTATTAGGATATTCTTGAAAATCTAAAAATGATAATGAATGCACGACAATGTTAGGAGATGCAACAACAATTTATTTTAATTTGAACAATATATATAGATAGGTTCCTTCAATCAACCAATGTTACGACAATATATATAGATAGATAAGTACCTTTAATTAATCAAAGATGTTATTGTTCCAAATAATTATCAAATAATTTTTTTTTTTAAATAATTACGACTTTAAAAATATTTTCAAATATTTATATCTCTGATGTCATTATATCAAGAGAGAAAATATATATCTTAATATTATAAGTGCAACATAATTGAATTTGCAACCGTATTTATGAAATAATAAAGACCAAAGCATTCAACCATAGTGTGTTAACTTACAATCGACAATAAAATGATAAGTACAAATTATAGCTATAGCAAATAAGAGTTATTTTTCAAACGTATCACGAAAAAGAAAGACATTAAAAAACTATATTATATTGACAATAGTAATGTCATTATTTTCAGCATAATGCCGAGAGATCATTAAATAAATAAAATCAAAGACGACATAAATTTCTTTAGCATTTTAAATTTCACAAAAATAATATTAATTTTATTTTAGATTTCTAACTCAATATTTAATTATTTAATGTTATTTGTCATAGAGTTCGTTTAATAGTATTAAATAGTATATTGTTTTATTCAATATATTTAATATTGTTTCTTATAAAATTCACCATTTTTTTGTAAAATAATGGAAAGGAAATTAGATTCTACTAAATTAATCTAATAATCAAATAAATTTAAGTAAAAAAAAAAAAAACAATATCACGTGCGTAGCACGTGCATCTTCCTAGTTTTGTTCAAACATGACAGTTGTGGAGGGTAAGAGTGTCGTACCAGAGTCCCAGCACCAGCGCCCATTGCATTTATAACACCAACCATTCCTCCTAGATGAACAAACAGCACGTGAGGACTCGAGTACGTTTTTCTAAATAATGCCAGCAATCCTTTAACATCCTCTGCTTTTAGAAAGTTCAATCCCGCATTCAAAACAATAGAAAGGAGGCTTCCAGTTCCAGCACAAGCCGTCACTAACAAACTCTGGTTGAAGGAATCAGATTGTATAACGGACGACAATCCAGAGATGAGCTCTGTAAGGCCATTCATAAGACGCTCTAGCTCAGTATCATCAATCATTTCAACCCTAAGGCAGAAAGACACTATAGTTGGTAGAGCAAGGCATGCTCCTAGAGATGACATCTGGACACATCCGTCACTCGTGACAGATTTTGAGGATGAAGTACTTGTAACTGGAATCCACGAGAAAACTAAATCTTTCAAATAAAGGACTGCATCGTATGCCCCAAATCTGTACATTGCGCCAAGAGAATTACCTAAACCGATTATAGGTCCAGCAATAGCCCATGCATCCTCCTCCCGATGATCATTGTCCTCAATTATAGCTTCAAATTCAGTAGATAAATAATCTGTTTCTAGAGGTATATAGTCATTTAGCTTTTTCAGTATATTCTCTGATGACCCACCTAACTGATATATCATCTCGACTAAAGTCCTGATGATTTTTCTTAATAGTTCAGTTTCATGCATCCCATGTGTTTCCTTTTCCAGTTGAGCTGTAGCCCCGTAATCAATTCGGTTTAGAAGATCCTGAGATGAAAAACCCAATCCGATCCCGCAAGCTCCTTTCACAAGGGTGCTCTTGCTAAAGGAGGCCACCTTTAATAAAAAGAACCACGTCAAACATGCTAAAGATCATTATGCCTAACAAATCAATCGACATTCAAAATTCAATCAAAAGTCTTTCAGATAACTAAGTTTATTTCTATTCATGCATGCAGCAATTGCACTACAAAAGTTTATAATTTGGAAAGGTTGCATGAATACAAACCTCAAGAAGGGCATTTATATTCTCAAACTTCTGCTCATGATCAGTCAAATGCAGGCAACTTGATATCAACCCAAGAGAAATTGCAGCCGACCATTGGCGGTATTCGTGCGCATACTGAGACAACCAGTCTAGCAAGAACTTTGAAGCCATCGACTTAACCATGTGTGCAGATGCAGGTAGAACCTACACAAGGAATAGCAAGAAGCATTAAATTATAAAAATGAAAAAGAAACCTACAACTTCACATTTCATTCTATTTAAAGTTTTCCCTCATTTCGAGTGGTACATTTTGATTAGATAGAGGGAGTTCTCTTTTATTTCTTTTCACTCATGAAATGAAAGTTACCATTTGAATATTACCGTAAAAATCATGATGATAGCGCAGTACTTAAATTGATCACAAAAATTGGTAAGATACACAAGAAACTAAGTTTTGGATAATTATCATTGGTCCGAAGGTGAGAGATTATGGGTCTCTCTATGCATTCTCCTTGTTCTTTTGCCCTTGTCATCTCCACGACTTCTGGCTAATGCTTCTCCCTCTTGTCAGTTTCTTACATATTTCTATCCTATATAAACAAACTCATCACTGATAGAGAAGAGCAATTGGACCGGAAGCATGCGTTATCGACTATAATTCTTCCATCTGAAACTCATGTAATTATATTGTTTCAATCCAAACCAAGGATATCTAAACAATTCTTATGGAAAAAAAATAAAAAAAAAAAAAAGCTGCCTTAGATAGCCTCGATCCAAACTCAGCAACGTAGCACCGCCAAAGCATACACTAGTATCATATAAAGTTGTTATCATGTCTGTGGGAGAGAAAGAACACAAGCTTTCTAGTTAATTACCACACAAAAAGCTCCAAGTGCTAATGCGATATTTTCAGCAGACCGAGGAATTGCTGCATCTGCTAACCTTGTTAGAATCTGCAGCATTAACACAACCAACTAGCAATAATATTTCAAAACAGAAAGAATAACTATAACATAAAATTCTAACAAATAAATAAAAATGAACCTTCAGGATTTCGTTAGCAGCCTTTGACGTGTTATCTAACACGGTGCCATGAACATTTGCCTCAAGTACCATCACGCGAGACCTCAGCCACCTTTGCATGAAAGGTTTCCATGATTGCAGAGAAAAAAGGGCGAGAAAAGTATTTCTTGAAATCTGAAGAGAGGCTGCTATTTCTACAGCTGCATCTTCATATTTAGCATGAACATCCTGCAAACCTCAAACACTGATGTCCAGAACTCCATAAACACTGACAGAAAATGATTTGACAAAATACAAAGACATAGTTATCTCACTTTTGACATTCCTTGTTTCTTCGTATCTCTATGAGTGGGAAAACAAAATAAAGCTGCACCAGGGAACTCTTTTATAGTTTGCTTACTTCCTGACATAAAAAATGCCTCTATACGTAAGAATTTAACTCAAATATAGACAAAACAACATACTTTTAGGAAGAAATATTTCACTGATGATAATTAAACCTATTAATTTTAGCATTACAGCAAAAGGGTCGGTAATTAGCCAATCATATTGCTACCAACTTAACAAAATCCCATCTTATTTATCATTGTCATCTTCTCATTGGGCTCAGTCACGGTGTCACCTGTCCTTCAGTGTAAACTAATACCAAACCATACGCTTTATCACTTCGGAGCCCAAAACTTATCTCAGTAAAAGTTCATAGAAGCCTCAAAAAAGAGAGGTTGAACTCGAAATTACATATAAAGCAATGACTAGGAAGAATAACATAGGATATCTGTGTCATTTAGCGATACTGATATATTAACACCAAATGGTTGCACCTGACCTGAATAGAATATTTGAAATTAACATATTAAGCAATGACAAGGAAGAATAAATATGGCATATCTCTGTTATTACTTACTGAAACTAATATTAACCTGAATTGAAAATAACACCAGGCACTACATCTAACAACTTAACAATCTTGTTTCCAGATCCGGAGACCCTTTTCTGCTTTACGAATCTTCTTCTTGTACTGCAAAAACAATAATAGGATTAACATTGTTAGATATATCAATAGTTTCTTTCAAACAAGCAGATTAACAAAATTATAATTCTTAACATGTGCTCGTGATTTATGATTTTGACTTCAAATTCTTTGAATGCCGGGAGCGAATCAAGATCAGACTGAGAAACGAGGAATTCCATGTTCCTGGAGCTAAAATCCGGTATGCTTCTCTGGATATGCACCACCTGAAAACATAACATTGAGAAAAATGAACAGGAAAAGTGGCCACTTCTATTAACAATTTCAACTGAAGTAGAGAAGAAGTTCAAAGGAAGATGGACCAAAGTTCCAAACAGAGAAACAAATATATTTCCAGGAAAGCTGTCATGACACAGTAAAAAGGTTAATAATGACATAGTGGTCGCAAACTATTTTAAATTGGTTGATTCTAAAAAAGTCATGCATCAAGTGGCAATCATTACATGATTATCTATCAAAGGTCTCAATGTCATGATTAAACACATAAACAAGGTAAAAACACCTAAAGGAACAAGTAATCTGGACACTTGCATCATATTGCAATAAAGCTACGAACGCAGCTTCTCGCGCTCTGTTCCAAGAAGAACTCTGTTTAGCTTCTTGGTGGGTTCCAATGTTCCACAATATGTTCAAAACATTTGCAGCTCCTTCTGGATATGCTTCAGCATCCATTGCGCCCCATTTTAAAAGAAGAGACAGCCTAGAGCACAAGAAGAATCCAATAAAATTTAGACACTTCTTCCAGCGAGAAGATAAATGTAATTAAGAAACCAAATCTGTAATCCCAAAGCACAGAAATATAGGAACAAGTGACATATATTAGCAAAAAAAATCTTGGAACATCTACACAAATGCAGCTTAACAGAATTATAACTAATAAGCTATATGAATCGTAAATATGATAAAATCACTAACAAACCATCTATCTGTAAGTGATATAGAATTGCCAGTTTTTGTTTAGGTTCACCAATATCACATCTCAGACTGTTTTCAACGATCAAAAGTTATCAACATAAATCACAATGAAGCTAATTAAAACTCTACTCAACTATATAAATCTTCATAGTTGCAGTTAAGCCACAAACATCAGCTATCTTAATTGCATTAGAAATGTAGGGAATGAAATGCAAATAACAATAGAAAATAGTCCTACTGCAATTATATATCACCTTTATGTACATGATATAACTCAATCCAGAAACATTTTCAAAGGAAATGGGAGAACAAGTGAACGTTTACCCATAAGCAACAATTGAATTTCCATGGTAATCCCGAATATGCGTTGCAATGACTTCCCAGGCAGTATAAAAATCTGATCAAAGAGCACATGAAATTTACTCAGTTTTATCTTATTTATGGTCACTACGAACAATCAGGTATGTGAAAAGTCCACAATAATATTTGCCTTGATATTCTTACACCTGAGAGCAATAACTACCAGGGAACAAATAATATTCAACTTGACATACAGAAATGGCATTATGGCCATTACGAACAATCATGTATGTGAAGAGTCCACAATAATATTTGACTTGATATTCTTACACCAGAGAGCAATAACTATCAGGGAACAAAGAGAACTTCCTCGTAAAAAGCTAACCTGATTATTGTCAAAGAAACTTACTCAAGTGTGTTATTCCTTCATGCCACTTGGAACCAACAAAACACCATCATTATAAAAACGGGAACTAGTATTAGTGTTAAACTAATCACTACCACACTCCAAACATACTAAACGAAGAAACGGGAAAAACTGAAAACTACGTGTAGAAACTACTGTATAAGTTGTTCTAGTCGCTAAACGACACTTTTGATCTCATGAAGCACAGAAATTGAAGTCCAGGTAAATTTTCTTGGTTATTGCATCAGAGTACCAATAGCATCAGCTTCACAAAGATGAGCAAGACTTCGTAATCCAAGAGACTTCACCCAAGGATTGCTGTTTTCTATGCAAGCCTGACATGAAAAACAAAGTGATCAGAGAGAGTCATGGTGCAACCACATTAAGCCCTAGACAGAGTAACTAGAATAACAGAATATACCGCAACAGACAAAATAATATCCACTCCCTTATCAGGGTTTCTTTTGCAGACATCTTCTATAGAGACTGCAATGCTGATACAGGTGTCACTTTCAGCTTCGTACTGTGCTAGTCCATTTGGTTGCAAGATTGCCTAGAACAACATATTTTATGAGAAAGACGGAGAGAGAACATAACAAATATGCTACAAGAAACTGTTCTGATGGGGAAACAAAAAACAAAAATATAAATATAGGAGCAATATTTTTTCTGCCTTTCAATTGGTAGCATTTCTCTGATTTTCAGATCTGTAACCAATGCAGGCTAACTTGCCATCAAACTTTCAATATAAACTTTAGATTAATGAACAAGCAATATGTAAGCCACATACGATTATGAATAAACAACATAACAAAAACTTGCCTGCAAACTATCAAAAACCCGGCCATTGATCTCCCAGGTCTTACTAACCAAGCGTATAGCAACCGCTTTTATGACACTGAGGATCAAAGCAGAATATCACGTTCATTAGACTACTATACTACAAAGTATAAAATATAAAACTCTGAAATTAGGGTAATGGCTGCAGAAAAATTATGTGAAATACCGATTCTGGTCCGGGAATTTGTAATTTCAAGAACCCCATGATTAATCATGCCTACATTTTTTTTATTTATTTCACAGGAAATGACTTAATTAACTGGTCTACAACCCACACACCTTAAGGAATTCAAACCCCCAACCCCTGTCTACCAATGGCTCCAATACCACTAGGCTAATCCTTCGTGGTTTATCGAGCATCATGTTCGTGCGGCAATGATCTACAGTAAGATAGAACGTGTACAATAGAATTGTGTAGATAACATACTGGTCCACATCCTTCTGGAGCATAGGCAGAAGAATCTGGAACACCAGTGGTATCATTGCAGGATGTGAAGCAACTGATGGAAGCAAACCCAAGAGCTTAAGCTGCATCATATAAAGTAAATCTCCTTGTGATATGAATTAAAACTTATAAGTTTGTCCGTATCGACTCAAAAGAAGTAGCCAGCAAGTGCCTGATTTTCTTCAGGTCCATAGCAATCTAACACTCACCCGCAGATCATGGTAGTCGTTATATTTTAATTTTTCTGCACTTGAGCATACATGATTGTAGAATAAAGTTAACAGCAACAAAGGAACACCAAGCATGGGCTCAATACTACTGCAAGTAGCCAACAGATCAATGGAGAAGTTCCTCGTGTGATGCAAGAGAAAGACACCAGAAACTGCACCAAGTATCAGAGGTATTTCTGCAAATGGAAAACGAGAGAGTAAGGATGTAGGGTGAAAAGGATATAAAACTTAAAGAAAGAGTAAATGTGATGATGGAGGTGATGGTGCTAAAATAATAATAATAATAATAATAATGATAATAATAATAATAATAATAATAATAATAATAATAATAATAATAATAATAATAATAATAATAATAATAGGGTACAAGGCAATGAAACAGTGTTCCAGAAACACAAGTATTGCAGGCAAAAAAGAATTAATCGTTTAGAATAAGAAAGTTAAGAACAAAAAGGAAAAAGAACATTAAGAGATTAGTTGTAGGTATCTTGTGGACCTCATAAGTATGTGTGAACAAACATTCCAGAATTGTCAAAGAAATGTGGCATTGATGATGAGTATGTGGGGAGAAAAAGATAAACTGTTATAAGTAGAAGTCATGGGGAGAACAAAATGGATGGATAAGATTTAGCAGAGAATCGTCTCTCAAAATTGTGTCAAATAGTAAAAGAAATTTAGGATTTTGGATATTCTAAGAGCTCTTCCCAACACCCTATATAACTAGAAAAGGGATAATAAAACATAACATTTATGTTCTATGGTTATTAGAAATGTTACAAATACAATCCCTTAGCTGCAAGCTATTGTGAAAGCATCCTAAAAAAATATACAACATTACCAAGAGACTTGGGGACCTGGGGTTTTAAGATCATTTAAATAAATTAAATAATATGTTGATTTTTATAGCATGGTGCCGTGTAATTTTTCAACAAAGTGGCTTAGAGAAGATATTTTGGGTATCTTAACAGAGGCAATAGAGTTGCAAAGACTGACTTCTACAGAGCACAAATGTCACCTGTTGGAAAGATTTCTTTAGATGGAGAGGTGGATGGAGTGGCTTTGCCCTTTCCAAAGAGTCGCATACAATACTCCGTCACACAGGAAGTCCATATCTCCAGTTCAGAATGCTCTCTGTCGGAATCGATGTCACCATCAGAAAAATGATTCACATAAAATAGACAGTGGGATGACAATTGATCCTGTAAAAGATTGTCAACAGAAAAATAGGTTTAATTTGAGTCTAAAAGAGATACAAGCAGCTGTTATATTAGATGCATATATTCTGCTAAAAAGCATCCATGCAAACAGCCTTCATTCTAAGACACGAATAAGTGAAGCATTTAATATTTACTATTTTTAAGGATACTGATCAAAGAAATAAATTTAAACAGATTTACAACAGACAGAATCATGCAAGAATAATTAAGGTGAACATGGAGTACCAAAATGATTGTGTTTATGAACATATTAGCTAAATGAAGAGCATGTGTTAATACAGAAGAAACAAATATTTAGCAACCAAAGAGGTCTTGACATGAGTTACATATGTAAGTATCCAACTAACGAAAAGTTGCAAGGTATGTCAAAGATTGCAGGACACGGTGCTGTATTTTGCATGGAAGATAACAGAAATATACCTCAAACAACATATTCCTCAGAAACCTGAAAACAATGTGACCAGGAGTAACAGCCAGCAAGTGCTTTCCCCTGACCTGTTGTTTTTCCTTGGGTGCAATCAGTATATTAGTAGCAATCTTTTCCAAAATAAAAAGTAAATCAGTAGCCATTTGTTTGATGGATCTAGATGGAGAGGAAACAAGTGCAAGCACAGGAAAGATAAATAAAAGCTCCTCAATTGATTCACTAGCAGAAGCACCGATGAAATAATCTGCAAAAAGGGTAAAATATATATGGTTTAAGAAACATAATATACACTTTAGTGTTTAACTTAAGCACTGGAAAATGGAAATCCATACGTTGTGGCATATTTCAATCTTTGTTCTACCACGACCCATGAATGCTAAAATGACCAGAGACTATAATGACAGGAGATAACGTACCATTTTCATATTTCCATCTTAGGATAAACAAAAGTAGTTTAAGTATGGAATATTGTTCGTGCTCAATATCTGACTGAGTGAGAACTTGGAACAAAAATAATGTCACCAAGGAAAGTTCAGTGCAACAATCAAGGCCAAGCTCTTTCTGAACAGCCAATATGTTCCTTGCAGCATCTAATAATATGTCAACCCCACCCAAGCGAGATCGGAAATTCCTATTTTGCAAGAAAACTGCCTCTAGCAATGCCAATCCACATGACTGAACTTCATCAACAAGCTGATCATATGAGAAATAAACAACACAAGTGCTTTAAGTTTTGAAGCAATAATAAAAGAGCAGAATTGGAGTTCGTTCTCAAATACATATCAAAAGATATGTGAGGTCTGCGTCTTTGTGATGATTGACTTACCAGCCCCATTCCAACCAACTGCTTCGAAACTACCTGATATGCATCCACCAAGGATTCAATGATACATGAAACAGTTGTAACCTCCTACAACGAAGAGATAAAACAGCAAGAAAAGCTTCATAAGTTTTTCATTAGAAAAAATAAAAAATAGAAAAATAAAAATACGAGTAGTTTTGTAGAGATGTAACAGTGTCATGCTGCAAATCCCGATTGAAGATCAAGAAAACACAACTGACGCTGTTCAGTACAACATTTAACTTACTTCAGCATTCTTACATGGGAAAAAACTAAGACATCGAGTCAGCATCTTCATTATGGGAATGGCTTCTTGGGGAAAAGAGCAGCAGAATGCCGCCATTGTGGATACCAACTCCCTCACAAATGCTGAACTGGAACTTGCAACAGGAACTTTTGTAATGGAATAATTTAAGAAGGGACCCAAAAAATCACAGACAGCCTCCATTCCCAGGTGTTTACACTTCATGATCAACATAATTACTTGTTTCACAAGTCCACCTTGAATTTCAGTCCCATAACAAAGGACCTGTCATCCAAAGATGCAGGAGTGACATTTCCATACCAACATCCAGTTAACCAGAACACAACCATATAAGTAAAATAATATAGTGATTCACAATGAGGAGATTATGTTAGTTTTTCTGGAAGTTCTGATTTATTTTCCTTCTTTTTGGTGATCTTATATTTTCTCGATTCGCAAAGCCAGTGGCATATTACAACAGCGAGTTGCACTCCCCAAGGAGAACGCTTAATAGGAACATGAAGCCCATATTTAATTTTCTCACATTCAGTACATGGTATATTTGGAGCTTCTTCCTCTGAATGAGATAACACTGAATTTACAGCTGAATTATACAGCAGCCTTAATTTCAGCTGGATTTCCTTCCACTAGTGTTTCAACCAATAAAATGCAAGCCACATCCAACAATCTACTGCAACAGTAGCTGTCACGCTCAGTAGGAAGTTCCAAATTATCCATCCTAAACAATATTCTCACCAAATTCCAAGATGTTTAACCCATACGGTAGATTATTTACCTTGACAAAAGGATGAAGCTCGGACGAATGAAACCGGAATGAACTCGGATTTTGCTGAAAACCAAGCCTGGTAAGCAATCCAATGGCTCTGACGAATACGCTGGATAATTCAGGACTGGAAGACTCTTCGAGTGCGGACTGCAACTCCAACAAGCCAGTCGAGACATCCAATTTCGCGTCCTTGACGAGGCGGCAGAGCTCGCGCGCGGACTGATCAACGACGGAGGGGGAGGCGGAGCGGAGGCAGCGGCCGACGGCTTCTCGGCCGGCATCGGACGGCGCGGTAGATCGGAACTTGTCGAAGATAGAGATAACAGCTAGTTTCTGGAGCGAGGGTTGGGGTATTCGTGTTTTCTCGAAGAGAGGAGCGTACAAATCCATGTCTTCTTTGGAGGGTGAAAAACGAAAAGGGAGCTTGGTAATGGGTTTAAATACCAGAGAGAGAGTGCGTGTGTGTTGATGGGTGACGTGGCAACTATAGAGATTTTGGCCCGGGCCGGACGATGTAGCCTTGTCGGATGAGCAGAATGGTTGCATATTCGAAAGATTTTTTAATAGTTTTTTTAATTTTTCAATAGTTAGGAAAGTAAAAATGAATTTATTTGAAAAATATATAACTTTATTTTTTCTTGTACAAGTGAAATTATAAGAAAATTAAATTAAATTAGACATATTTTTCCATAAAATTATTATTTTATTCATATAAATTTTGAGTAGCGAAACAGAAAACTTTTTTTTTGGGTAATGATTACTCTTACTTCATACTAAAACTATTAAACGAAAACAGCTACTGTTAAGACTTAAAATTCGGATCATTAAAGTTAACTCGGATTGGATCGTATCGTTCAAGTTTAAGCTCGGATCGTTAAGCTTAAGCCTGGATCATTAAGGCTTAAATTCTTATCGTTAAGGCTTACGTCCAATTATGTTAGTTTGACAAAGTTTGGATCCTTGTTGTTATGATTTAAGTTCGGATCCTTCAAGCTTAAACTCGGATCGTTAAATCTTAAGTCCGGATCATTAAGGTTTAAAACTCGAATCGTTAAGGAAGTCCGACTCTGTTAGTTTGAGATAAAGTTTGGATCGTTAAAATTGAGCTCGACTTTATTTGATTGATCATTGAGTTCAGCTCTTCGTTTGACCAACCAAGCACTCATCTAAAATCTCGACTTTGTTCGTTTGAATATCAATGAACCGACCTTTCATCTAAAATCTCAACTTTTTTCGTTCGATATCATTGAAATCGGTTTTATTCATCTGATCGGTCGTTTGATCAATGAAACAAGCTCTTGATTAAAATTTGTTTAGTTAACAAGTTGATCTCGAGTGGCCTGTTTCATTGTCTAAAATTTTGTTTAGTTAACAAGCTCATCGCGAGTGGCCGTCCTTATTTGCTTCTCTTAGCTCGATAACCAGATGAGCTGATCAGAGAATGTAAAGTATGAACTCCTAAGAGGAGTAGAAGAAATATCTATATCAGACATTATGTTGTGCTTACAGAGGTCTTTACTTTAGACTAGTGCATGGCCCGTGCGATGCACGGGAAAACAAAATTACGATTGTGTTATAAATTAAATCTACAAATAAACTAATCAAGATTTACCCATCGTTTTTAAATTAAACCTTGTTGGACACAGTCTGACCGGATGGATCGAGAACCGGTTTATAATCAGTTTAGTTTTGCTATTAAATCCGTCAACACCAGTCTGTCGAACTGGTTGGGTCGATATGATTTTCTAAATAAATTTGGCTATGTTTAAAATTATTTTAAATAAAATTACATATTTAAATAAAATAGAGATTTATAAATTGTTTATTAATTAATTTACACATTTAAATTTTTAAATTGTTTAGCATTTTATTCAATTTATTACAAAAGTACTATATATATATTAAAGCGTATTTTTAAGTAAAAAATTTAAATTGTCCGATTTTTATAAATTAAATTGTACGATTATATTAAATCGTATTATAAATTAAATTGTATGATTTTTAAAGAATAAAATAAGAAAAATAATAAAACTACTATTTATGGACTGCATTAAATGCTGACCTATTTTTTTGCTACTAATTTTAATAAATAGGATGACTCTTTATATAAGTATAGATAAAGGTTCATTTGTCCTTCTCTAGCAAGTACGGCAACCCCATTGCTAGTAGGTTGATCAGGTCTTCATCCGCTAGCTTCGTCTTGGCTAGGTCAATGTAATCTTTGTTGGATATTTGGTGTGAAATTACACGGGAATCCTACGAACTGATATGTAATTTTCAGTTCTTACAAATAATCTAAAAATAGAAAATTACAATTGAACTGAAAAAATAAATTACAACTGAAAAACGGAAAGATTTTTAGCCGAGGCGAGTAAAACTCTTTCCGGAAGAAGAATACGCCCCGTGTGTTAGTTAACGGTTCATGCGTAACTTCCCCAAAGATACAACGACAAACGTCTCTAAATCTGTAGCACATCAGATTTACGAGCTCCGGCGAACTGGAACGGAGTCGAGAATTGAGCACTTAAAAATAAAAGAAATATCTTAAAACAAATAAAAATATCACTTGTTTCTCTCTTTTGATATTTTTATATCCGATATTTGGACATAAATATTTCTTTTCTTTCCTTTCTATTTCCTTTCTTCTCTCTTTCTTTCTCTGTTTTCTTCCCTTCATTCTTCTGCCGCATCATCTATTTATAGGGAGATGGAAAGAATCCAAATGACCAATTTGGCCAACAAATAATAATATTTTTTTTCTTTTACATGTGATCAGATGGGCATGATGCAAAGTTGCATGTGGCATGTGAAGAAAGCATCTTGCATGTGGGGAGGAAATTTCTTCCTCTTTTCTTTATCTTTTTCCAACAATCCCCCACAAAAGATAAAGTAAAGAGATACACATATATACAAACTCTTGTGCTCAATCCTCACAAAATTCTATTGCATCAGAAAAGGTAGCTTTTGGCTTTGAACATTTCTTAGTAAACATCATCGGATGCACTGGCGGCCTAGTGGACATAATGCCTTGAACTATTCCTCCATAGTGTACACCGAGACAATGACATTCACACAATAGAATCTTAACTCCATTCCGTTATATCGTTGTGTCCGTTTTGGCCATGGACAACACAATGGATTCATAAGTGTTTACATTTGAAGCGGCCCACACTTCACACTTATATAGGTGACCTCCCTATCAAGAGTATCATGCCATACTCCACCTTTACAAGGTTAGGGATTCATTAAAAGTCCATATGACTTACCCTCACCACAATCAACAGGTTATCTTGCACTTGGAGTGCTCTAGGGAATAACTTTGGACATTCATATGTTCTAAGTGCTCAACTGAATTTTCATAGCTTAGTTTTCCCTTTGAACCAAGTTCGTGGGATCTCCACTCAGCATGGTAGGGTTACCACTATGATCATTCTTTACATTGTGGATTTTTAAGCCCATTCCCTCTACCAAAACTGTCAATTGATCTTTATTCAATCCTTTCGTCAAAGGATCAGCCAAATTTTCCTTAGTCTTCACATAGTCAATGGAAATAATACCATTTGTAATCAATTGACGTACGATATTATGTCTACGACGGATATGTCTAGACTTACCGTTATACAAGTTGCTTTGCGCCCTACCAATAGCAGCTTGGCTATCACAGTGAATCATCACAGGCGGCAAAGTCTTATCCAAACATGGAATATCGGATAAAAAATTTCTAAGCCACTCGGCTTCTTCACCAGCTTTATCTAAAGCGATGAACTCCGATTCCATCGTTGACCGAGCTACACACGTTTGTTTTGTGGATTTCCACGAAACTGCACTTCCTCCAATACAGAAAACATATCCGCTAGTGGAGCGAGAATCTCTCGAATCTGATATCCAACTTGCATCACAGTACCCTTCAAGTACCAATGGATATCTCGAGTATTTTAACCCGTATTCAAGGGTGTACCTCAAGTACTTAAGTACCCTTTTCAAAGCATTCCAGTGCTCATGACTGGGATTGCTCGTAAATCTGCTCAACTTATTCACCGGATAGGCCAAGTCTGGTCGTGTACAATTTGTCAAGTACATCAGACTCCCTATTATCCGTGAATATTCCAACTGAGCCACTGATTGACCTTTGTTGACTTCCAGATTTATACTGAGATCAAGGGTGTCTTACACCTAGACTGTGCACCGTCATAGATATCAAATTTCTTGAGCACTTTCTCTACATAATAAGATTGTGACAATACAATACCATCTTGGGTTCTAATAATTCTTATTCCAAGAATAACATCAGCCAAACCCATATCTTTCATGTCGAAATTTCTTTTCAACATTCTTTTTGTATCCATGATCACTTCATGGCTACTCCCCATGATCAACATATCGTCTACATATAGACATACAATCACAAATGTATTTGATCTACTCTTGACATAAACACATTTATCACATTCGTTGATTTTGAAATCATTTGTCAACATCACGCCATCAAATTTCAAATGCCATTGTTTCGGAGCTTGTTTCAGTCCGTACAAGGATTTGATCAATCTACACACCTTTCTCTCTTGTCCAGGTGAAACAAACCCTTCAGGTTGTTCCATGTATATTTCTTCTTCCAATTCACCATTCAAAAATGCCGTCTTGATATCCATTTGGTGAATCTCAAGATTGTGCAAAGCAGCAATCGAGAGAAGCACTCTTATCAACGCGTAACAGGTGAATAGGTATCAAAGAAATCATACCCTTCATTTTGTTTAAAGCCTTTGACCACCAAACGTGCTTTAAACTTATCAATTGATCCATCAGCTTTATATTTTTTCTTTAGGATCCATTTGCATCCTAAAGGTTTACAACCATCAGGGAGATCAACCAACTCCCAAGTATGATTTTGCATAATGGACTCAATTTCGCTATTTACAGCTTCTTCCCAGAGTGGTCTATCTGGGCTGGACAGAGCTTCCTTAAGGGAACTCGGTTTATCGTCCAACATGTACGTAATAAAATCAGGTCCAAACGTCTTAGCCGTTTTTACCCTTTTACTACGTCTCGGTTCTTCATTAGTACCCTCTGGTACAAAACCACTAGCAGTTTCATACGTTCTTTTATTAGAACTAGATTCTGCCCTTTCCTTCATAGGAAAAACATTCTCAAAGAATATAGCATTCCTTGACTCAATCGTGGTACCAACAGATACCTCTGGATTTTCTGATTTATGAACCAGAAATCTATATGATGTACTATTGTACGCATATCCAATAAATACACAATCGACTCTTTGGCCCGATTCTCATTTGTTTTGGTTCAGGTACTGAAACCTTAGCCGAACATCCCCACACTTTCATGTATTTATAAGACGGCTTACGATTTTTCCACATTTCGTAAGGAGTCTCATCTTTCCCTTTAGATGGTATTTTATTCAGGATATGATTTGCTGTCAAAACAGCTTCCCCCCACATGTTCTGTGGTAATCCTGAATTAATCAACATGGCATTCATCATTTCTTTTAAAGTTCGGTTTTTGCGTTCAGCAACACCGTTCGACTGTGGAGA